CGCGGTCGGCGGGCCGGCGACCTGCGGCTCTGTGGCGTCTTGCCGTCCTGCGCGCGCCCAGCGCCCCGCCGCCCGCCCGCCGCCCCCGCCCAGCCCGCGCCACGGCGGGGCGCCACGGCGGGGCGCCCCGCGGGTGCCTGACGGCAAGACGCCACAGAGCCGCAGGTCGCCGGCCCGCCGACCGCGGTGCGAGAGGCGCGATGAGGGAGCAGTGGCGGGGCGGGGGGTGATTCGGGCGTTGCTGACCGCGAAATCGGGGTAGCACCGAAGGCGGGCCGTGCTTCCGCGCAGGCGACTCCGGGGCAGCTAGCGTGCGACTCCGCAATAGGGCCTCGGCGCCCACGGCACGACGGGACATGTAGTGCTGGGCGGGGCGGCGGCGCAGTGGGAGCGGGGTAGGGCAGGCACGGGTGCCCTTCGCGCCTCTGCGCTGCCTCCGGCGTGTCCCGCCACCGGGAAGTCGGCATTCCTCGCCTTGGATCCGCCAAACCCAACGACATTGCTCGGCCCGGACCCGTACAAAGCGGTTGTCACGTCGCCCTCCCCTCACCCCCCGCCTGTCTCCTTACTGCCCCTTTCTGTCCTGGCATATAAGGACCAACCACGGTGCTTTCACAGAATCAGTTAAGTTGGAAAAGACCTTAGGGATCATCGAGTCCAACCTATGACCGAACACCACTATGCCAACTATAGACCATGGCACTCAATGCCACATCTAATCTTTCCTTAAACACTTCCAGGGACGGTGACTCCACCACCTCTCTGGGCAGCCCATTCCAATATCTAATCGCTCTTTCTGTGAAGATATTCCTCCTGATGTCCGACTTAAACCTCCCCTGGCACACCTTAAGACTGTGTCCTCTCCTCTCCGTACTGCCTGTCCTCTCCTTTCTCATTACTGCCCCTTTCTTTCCTGGCATGTCGGGGCCAAGGTGCTTTCCTTCCACACAAGGTGAACCAGGAGCATATCCACAGCGCTGCACCAAGTGCCAGGATACTCCCCTTAGTGCCCAGCCACGTGGTATGCCAGGTGAAGAAGGCCAGGGAGGATGCGAACTGACACTGAGATGGGACCTGGAAACTGGAGATACTGACTGTGTACTGAAAAGATCTGATAGCGAAGCCACCTGATACCTGGAAAAGATATTTGAGAAGCAGCAAATGTAGCTGCCGCCACAGGGGAGGCAAATTCCTGAACCCAGGTTATTTGCAACCTATGTTTAGTCAGGCCTGGTAAAAATTATGTTTCCTCTGCTAGGGATTTAGTGTGAGTGTTCACAGGAGACATGGCAGGTTTGAGCATGAGGGAGATGGATGCATGCTGTAAGAATCTCCCCACACTTGATGACACTTCAGTTCTTATGATGATGAGCTACAAAAAGTCTGCTTGCCCCACTGAGTTCATGCTTTCCTATACATGCATCCTGATACGTTCCTCTTACGTGTTTAAGATAGGGAGGGGTGTTGCAAATTCCCAAACCTAAAGGTTTCCAAATCATCAGTCATGCTGCTCTGCTGCTAGATCTCATTGCTTGTCACAGCTGTTGCCTGTTTTAGTAGCTGGATTCCCAAGGAAACAAAGCTCATATGAGCACAAAGGCGGAGTGCTCACAGCCTTTGTGTGTGGGTGTGCGTGTGTGCCTGTCCTTCCTCCCCACCCTTAATAATTTTTTAATCTGTTGGTCAATTGGTTGATCTGATTTGACAGAGGGAAAGAGCCTCCAGGAGTGATTATAAACATCCTGAGTAGAGAAAAAAATTTGGGTGGAACTTGCACCTTGCTAGAAACCAGATAAGCCCAGTTGTGAGATGCGAATGCTTCAGAGTCCAAAGTTAGCAGAGCCCAGCCTTAGGGAGCTCAGAAAGAGCAGGGACACCAGCCCTGGCTCAGGCCTTTGTGTTTAACAAATAAACAAATACAGCTTTTAGCAAACTTGAATACCAGGTGAATCTGGCAACAGATTCAGGAGGACAATAAACCACCTAAGTCAGATAGTAGAGGAGTAAAACTTTGACAGTGAGCTTTAAACAGTCTCCAGGCAGCCAAGCAGGAGTTGCTAAAACCTGGTATTTCCAAACACTGAGAACACGACTGTCATGCAGTGTTCAAAATTATTCAGAAGCGTAACATAAAACCTCTCTCCAATTTCCTAATCTGAGAAAACAGATTTCAATCACACTTGAAAAGCAGAGGACAAAGAGGATCCCAGCAGAATTTCCTCAGGCCTGATCTGCATATTGAGTTGTGCAACAGCTTGATTGCTGCTCCACCAGCTGCACAGGAGTTTTCTGCTTTCTAAGTAGCAAAATCAGGACATGAAATGATTTGTGTCAGTGTTATCGCTGCACACATTCGGGCACAGCCTTTTGTTTTAGAAGATGTACAAAACTGCTTTTGGAAACACAGACTTTTTTTTTTTTTTTTAATTGTGCTATTTCCCTGTTCTTGGCAGCTCTTTGGCCAAAAAGCAGAGTTGTTTTGGTTATGTTGATGTTGCAGGAGAGTGGAAAGAGCACTGGCATTTGAATGTTTCCCAGCAGTGGAGAATTTTCAGCCAATTTTAGGGTGTGGAGGTTTGGTCTTCCGCTGATTTCTGTTGGACCAGTGACACTTTGCACGTGCACAGAGATACTCAACAACTTGCTTGACATCCTTGAGATGTTGTAAATACGAACTGGTTGGGGTTTTTTTCCTGATATAATCCGTTTAAATGTGGCAGTGTTAAACCACTTTGGCAACAGGTTATTTGCAATATTTTTCCCTTTCTTCTAGTTGATAATTAAACCCTTCTCCTTCCCCTTCCAGTTATGTGTTTTTTATCCCTGAAGACAATGGCACCTGCATCTCCACAAGTGTGAAGGTGGAATAGCAACATTTTGAGGGAGTAAATGGTAACAGAAAGGAGGTGCAAGGATTTAGAGTAGGGCAAACCCCGCCCCCCAAACTAACAACAAACCAACAAGGTTTTCTCAGAGACTTAAGGTCACGCTGAGATGTTGCACATGGGTTGTGAATGACTGTGCTCCAGATCCTAAGACAAGGTTGGTAACTCAGCCTTCACATGGAAAAAAAGTGTTTTTTAAGACTCACAGTGGTGAGGACAGAGAAGGTGGACCGGATATGATCTGTGCCTTTCTGAGTGGGCAAACCAATTGAAAACAACCACTGTAGGGGGTCGGAACTTCTTCATTCATTTTATCCCTGAAGTCTGCCCCTTTGGGCAATGACCTACTTTAGTCACACTCCTACACAATGTTCTTTAATGAGACTTTTGGTCTGCTGCACTACTATCAGCAGAGACCACCTTGAAATGGCACTCAAGGGAGTGGAGAATGAATCTTTCTTTCTCTGGAAAAGCCCAAGTCTAACACTGACTCAGCTGAACTCTGTGAAGGGCAGACAGAGGAGTGGTGGTGAGTCCAACTCAAGGACCACACTAGTGAAGCTGCTTCAACACCTACAGCTTCAAGTAATGGAGCTGAACAGAGGTAAGACCCAGGTGATTTGTCAGACACATGAAATCACCATGTCTTGCTGCCCTCAGTCATTCCAATATAACTCTATGCAAACTGTTTAAGATCCCTGGGTTCCCTGGCAGCATCACAGTGCCCCTTCGTGCCCCTGTATGGCTTGTATAGCTTTAGAGACAAATGCTATCTTTGTGGTGCTCTCCCATGTTCCCAGCCTGGGAATGTCTCCTGAAGTTTCTACTACAGCAATAGCATTATGGATAGTTAGAGCTGGAATTATCTCTGCTTATCCTTTTGGTTTTCATTTTATCTCATGACATGACGTACTCTTAGAGCAAGGTTGTGAGGTTGCCTTGGAGATGGAGGGCTTAGCCACAGGGCTCTCTATCAGACCGAAACGTTCACATTAGCCAGTGTAACTGAGAGTGCTTTCAACAAACAATTGAGTGGAGTGAAGTGAAGTGACAAAAAGCTTACGAAACAGTCACAGGGGAATTGCATAAACTGGGGTCAGATGTTCAATTTGAGACTGTTACATGAGCAAGGAGTTTTGCAGCTGGTTGACGAAAAGAAGAGGGAGGTCAGCTGGTGCTCTAGTTGTTATAACAACCTGTTATGTTTCTCAGGCAACAGAGATGCCCATAGTAGTGGCAGGATGGATCGGGAAGATGATTTCCTCTTTCCCTGGAATAATGTTTGAAAGCTGTGAAAATTTTTCTTCTGGTTGAATTTGGGATTTGAATCTTGTAAGTGGCAAGATCTAAATGCTAATACACCATGGTGCAACGTTTGAGTGGATCAGCAGGAAGACTTTGGGAATGCACCATGGAATTAGCTGACTTGTAAATAAGCCAGTGGAAAAGAGGACAGAGAGAACCTACAGGTTTGCTGCAACATCCAGTTCAGAAAAAAATAAAGAGACCAAACTATGCATTGCCTTTATTCCTAATGTTTAGTTTATATCTTCCAAGGGAAAACTGGCAAATGACCGGCTATGAATAATGTACCCATGGGGAATGTTTGTTTTTAAACATGAACAGTTAGTGCCTGGCTTATGTCTGGGTGGGTATGCTGGCTATTTCATAAAGATTTCATTCTACTGAGGCAACCACATGAAAGAATTGCTTTGGAGGAATTCAAGGTGAGAATATCTTTATTTTGCATCACACCAACACCCCTAATGCAGTAGAAGTGAAGTGTAGAGATTAACCTTTCTCCTTCATCTCTCCCATACCCCTCTCTGTGTCTGAGCCCCTTGCAAATTCTAACTGAAATGATATGATCCTTTGTATTTCTAGCTGCTCCAGACTGGCTTGGTCTATTAAACACTGGGCTTTTCTGCCACAGAGGTAGGACAGGGAAAAGGTCTAAAGTTACAGTGTGTTGTAGTTTTGGAAAAGATGCTGGTAGAGTAAGAGCTGCAAACAAAAAAAGCCCTAAAACGTTTCCTTCAGCTGTGGGAGTCAGAAAAGTGAGGGAGCCTGAAGGTGTGGCTCTCATCAAAAATGGTAAATCAAATCACATAACAGCAGAACTTGCTTTTTTTTTTAATGCATATATAAGTCTCTCATCTGAACTGTATGAACCCTGAGGAGTCTCAGGTGCTCTTTGGTTCCTACAGCACTCAGTACCCCCCTGGACCCCTGCAGTGCCAAATGCATATTCTCCTTTACTCTCTTGGTCCTCTCCGATGCTGCAGTTTGGAGGTAATGGCTCTTGGCAAATGAATTAATCTGATTCATCTGCAGTTAACCCTCTATAAGAAAGAGTCTGAGAATGGTCTTTATGTCTACATCTGAGAGAGGCAAAATATTACATTATGTATGGAAAACCCTTATTCATGCCAATGTAAATCAGGAATAATTCTCTTTAAATTGGGTGCCATTGAGATGACTATCAAGTCTTGAGAATTCCCAATGTACAGAATATTTTATGCTGCGGTATAGGTAGGGCCAAAAAAACACAGCAAGGCTCAGGTAGTTAGAGAAATACTTTCCTAACAATTCCCACCAAAAAGTTCTGTTAAAAAAGCAGTTAAGGTTGCTCCAGGGCAAAACACACCCACACAAGAAATGACAGGTTAGGGGAACCTTCTTTGCATAAGCTATCCTGTGCACCTCATATTAACCACTCCCAGTGACAGACTCCAAACCCCAACAAGAAGCTCCCCTTGTTCTGCAGGATAAAGAAACAAACTAAATACCCATCCCTCCTACAATGCTTTGCTACAGTGCAAAGCTTTCTGGCTTCTGCAGCACTAACAATAGTGGCTGGTGCATGTGGGAAGGCTGCGGTGATTGTTGGGGAAAAAAGGAGATTAACAAGTGCCCCCTGAGCATACACTTTGCTGGCACCGCTGGTCTCAGGGACTTTCTGTGACTTTGTCAGACTCTGTTTTTTCTGTGGTTGGACAGTTGGCCATTCCAGTTAGCAGACCCTTACCACAATGCAGAGCTGAAGAGCCACCTGTTGCTTTTTATTAGACTGGAGAATGAGCTATTTGATATACTTACACCAGAACAAATCTGCTTCCTTTCCTGAAAAAATGGCTACATCTATTTTTATGTAGCTAGCTACATACAAATACCTAGTACCAGGTATTTGTATGGGGCTTCTTCTAAGTGATTTATTCCCAGCTGGGCCAGAACAGATTTTCTGTAAAAGGTGTTTTGTTACCTAACACTATGGGGATGCTGGGTAGAATGATAATGGCACTAAGCTGTAGTTACAATTAAAGCTTTATTTTTTTAAACAGAATTTTATGATCAGCATAGCATAAAATTTTGCAACCAGAACAGGATTTTTATAACCAGAATCAGCATATCACCATTTTCTGAGCAGCACAGCATGAAGTTTGTATCACAGGTTAGCTTCTGGTTTAAAAGACCGCAGAGGAAAAGACTCCAGGCCGATTTAGTGTAGAAGATACGATAAAGAGAGCAGGTCCTTTAATGAGTCCGTAGGCCTAGAGGAATACATACCATGGGCTCACCCAGACAGTGGCTCTATGATATTATAATAAGGTCCATCCAATCCCGGATCTGTCCACCCCTGGTTCTGCCCCGTTCTGCCCCCTGACACACCCCTTTGGGAATTGAGACTGGGGGCATTTGGGACCCTTTCTTTCTCATCTTCATCTTCTTCAAAGCATGTACAGTCCTTGGAGTTCCTCCAGAGTTCTGGGCTTAAAGGTCGCTGTATCTGTGTGATATCTTCTGGTCCAGGCCTTAGGGTGTTTTTCTACAATTCTACCTTGAAAAGGTAACGGAATTTAGAGGGATTGATATGAGATGGGATAGTAAGGTTGGGTATGTGTAAACACTATGCTACAGGGTAAGGGATACAATACAGCTACATTAAAATCTACATTCACTACACATCTACTTCTAAAATCTACAAAAGTTAAAAAACCCAAAAAGCTCTGAGGCATCATTCCTAACACCTGGACCCTCTGCAGAATAGGTCAATCTTAATACTTTGCTTGCAGTATCCATGACAATCATAATATAGAATAAAAACATATATAAGAATATGAGTCACTCACTCAAATGTTGGAGGAAGCAGATGATAGATAGTAGAGGCGTCCCTGGCCACTGGGAGATCATGGGTTTCGCTTTCCAGCAGCAGTTGTGGTCCAAGTCCCACTCAGATGTTGTAACTTCTTGATTTTATAGATCGTGGTCTGTGTTCTGCTACACTTGCCTGTACTGTGATGGTGTTATCACAACCTGGCTGGCTGGGTGCCTGAGACCTTCAAGGTTGGTAAGGAAGGGAGAAGTCAGCCCAGCACCCAGGAACCTTGATGCCTACAGGGATGGGGAGAAGGGTTCTATCTGGTACACGGGGCCTTCCAGGCCTGAGGAGGAAGGGAAAGGGGACTGATACATGACCAACTTGGTCACAGAGAATGGCCATTTGCCTTTTGAATTGGCATTGGTTAAGCTAACCATATTATGAGGGGTCAAGAGCAGGAGATACCAGTTACAGATTTGTACTGAAGAAGCCTTTGCTTGAAATTTTGTTGGTGGTCTTCCATCTACCTTCCTACATAGCTTTATACCTTCCCACATCTAGAGGCTGTTTTCATCCAAGTTTCTTCTGCTCCACAGGGTCACAATGACCAGTACTGACAGGTTTCACCTTGTTGTTTAAATGCTATTACAGAGTTAGTTCTGCCTTTGTGTACCTGGGTGCTCTAGAAACAAGGTCTTGGCATGGCATCGCACTAACAGGCTGCTGCCCCTGTGCTACAGGGGGTTTATGAGTCTTCTGATACTCTGCAGAAAGGTAAATCTTTGTTGCTCCAGGCACAGAAAACAGAATTTTTATGCTAGGTCTCAGGGGAGGGTTTTAATGCAGCCCCTATACAGAGCTGCATCAAAACAAAGAATTGAAGACAAGTAGATGAAGTACAGTAGTGTTACAGACCTTTGTCCATTCAAAATGAGCTAGACATGACTTCGTCAAGAGTATTAGTCTAATAATGTAATTTTGGGTCATGGGTGACGACCTTGAAGATGCTGAGGACTGAAAACCTCCTCACTGAAACTTCCCATGCTGTGACTTGGACATGGTCTGTTACTGGATCAAGTGTCTCCAAAATTCAGGCCCTGCTCTTCCTGACTGCTGTGCTCTATGATCAGCTCTGACCTGGAAAACTGAAATCATAGTAAAACTGTGCTCATTACAGACTGACCATTTTATAGTTCTGTGACAGTGCAAAGGCCCCAGAGAGTGAACTTAATAAAGGTTTGATATGCATTTATAACCTCACCTTTAAAAAGTCAGCATGAAGGTTTTATTTTCTATCCTCCAGAAAAATCTATTTATTCCAACAAATCCCAGAGAATCAATACTTGTTTAGAAAACTATAATAACTGAAACATTAATCCAAATTCCTTTTAAATGTTATATGCCTCTGTTAATGGTTTCTAAATTTACCATGGGCTATGTAAGGGTAATTCACAACATAGGATAAGCTTGTAGCATGGGTCTTTTGAGGCTATCTATACATAACATGCATGTCTCTACTCACTGGTCTAAGAATATGATATCAAAATGGGTAGAATAATTTCTTTGTTTCCATGACAAGTATACATCCCATATGGAAGTTATCAGCATCAACAGTAAGCTTCCCTGTAAGCTCTTGAGCCACTGTTATTAAATATACATTTCACATACACCTGTACAAGTTGAAGTCTTGGAAGAACATGTCTATTCCCCAGAAATCAAAGTGCTTTCAGTGCGGATGCCTGCGGGGGGACAGTGATCATAAAGCAGTCAGAGAGCCAAAGGAATGCTGAGATTTCAGAGCCTGCGTGATTACCCACAGCTGTACAAACAGTACAGTGGAGAAAACAGATTGACCTTGGCCATGTTTTGAGAGTGCCAGATAACCAGGTCCTTCAACAAGCCCTATTTCAACATGAAGAGGAAAGAAGAGACAGCGAAGAACACGAGGAAACACAGCAATGACTAAAGCAGCAACATCGCAAGTCAGCAACTTTAACAGGGACTGGTCTGGGACAAAACTGGTTGGTGATGACAGACATCTGCCTTATGTACCTGGCAGTGTGAGAAGTGGATTAGACTAGATGTCTGACAGCAATATCTCAAGTACAAGTAGACAGCACACTTCAAGACATGAATTATTGTGCTTTGAGCATCCCATAAATACCCATGGCAGAGAAATTTTAGTCTGTTTGCAGTAATTTTGAAATGGAATTTAAAAAGCAGAGAGTGTTCCAGTGTATTTCTAAATCCACAGGGCTGTGGCTATCTTTTCCAGCTTGTTAGTGCCTGGATCGAACTGTATAGAGAGAACAGTGAAGGGGTCCATACTAGCAAATAATTGCAATGCTCAATCTCACTGACCTCCCCTTCACCCTTGCAAATAGGTATTTTCTTTGCTGTTTCCCCACATGTCTGGGGAACACACCCTCCAACACTTGCATAAGTGCAAACACTATCACTAGGCTGACCATCAGCATCCCCTCTAGCTCTTATCTTGGTCTGTGTCCCACTAGGATTGTTAAGTTACATGCTTAACCTCAAGGAATCTCCCTCCCCTCCCCGTGCTGGGCAAAACACAGTGGATCACCTACTGGTAGAGAGCTCACTAGATGCTGGGCTCATAAATGACAGAAGCTTGATGCAGGATCAAAGACAGAAGTTAACTTCCTCCAGAATATCCCATAACTCAGAGCAGGCTGTGGGGATGATCCTCAGAATGGTTGTAGGAAACAGTTTGAGGATTGAAGGAAGCCTTATCTTTGCTAAGCTGGAAATCTGAGAATTACACAATACTTGTTTTTCTCACCTTGTGAGTTCTGCCGTTGCAATGTGCAAATCCTCAAGCATCCATGTGTTCACTGCCATCCAATGTCTTGGTAAGTAGAGAATAAAGAAGAGATATTTAGAGAGCTTGAGAAGATCACTATGAAGTTACTACATTACTGTAGCTATGAAATGACAAGAAAACAAAACAAAACACAACAAGGGCAGGGAGGAGATGGAAAGGGATCAAAAGGTGAAAGTCACATGAAGGTGACTATTCTGTCACTTAGTCGCTGGTGGAGAACTCCCCTTCTAGCACAGGCAGTATGAAAGTGTTTCCCTGTTAAGGCTTCACCTATAGCTGCTGCCAGCTTGGCAGGGAAAGCAACTCTGATGAAAACAAATTCCTGTGTTCCCATGACATTGAGTTGCTCCTGCAACACTGCAGCTGTCAAAAAACTTGAGTGACTCCAAGGAGAAACACTTCATTTACCCTGTCTGTTTTGCTCTCCCCTTTCAAACACTAATTTTATATTCTACAGTCAGCCAAACAGCTCCTTACAAATTTTACAACCCATTCTCCCAAGAGCCTGAAGGCACAAAGCATTCACACAGTGCACAACCTGAGAACTAAAGCATAAAATACATGAAAACACATAAAGCCTTTGCAGAAAGTCCTGAATAAGGTCAGTGAATCTGCCTACACCTTCACGAGCAAGCATTCACCTGACTGATAAGCTAAGAGTTAAAAACAGATCACGTTAAAAGCTGATGAAAGCACAAGTAGGCATAGAGTATTATTTAGATCCATTACACAAAAATCCCACATCCGATTTATGAGAAAGTCTATGGAACATGTCCTCACCAGATTATCTGCCAATTGCATATCAAGAGCTTTAGAAAAAAATTTTAGAGGAATGAGTAACTACAAATTGTATGCAATGAGTAGCTGGGAAACAGGATAAGATGCAAGATGGGTCTTTTAAAACTACATCATGCCAGACTAAGCAATTATGTTTTTAGGTGTGATTAACTCAGTCGCTTTGGCAGAAGAAACATGGTACGTCTCACCTATTGGACTTCAGTAAAGCATTTGATTCAGTGCCACAACTTAAGTGATTAAAAGGCAAACTGGAGAAGATGGAGATTAGTAGGCAAACTGTAAAGCAGTGAGGAACTGCCTTAAGGGAAGAATGCTGGGATGAGGGGGTTCCACAGAGATTAGTCTTAGGATTTTCAATATTTTTACTGACAGTTTAGATACTAAAAAACCCCAGGATTGTTGTGAAACATGACTGATATGCGATGAAATCTGTCAACAATGGACAGCTGGAGGATGTTGCTGGTACACAAAAAGTTATAGATATAACAGAGATCATTCAAAGATTAAATTATACAGATAGAGTCAAATGGTGTAGTAAAAATCAGACAGAAAAGGGGTGTAAATGCTAATAGCATTGTGAAAAAGGCACTGGAGAAACTTCATCTGGAATATTGTATACAATTCCAGTTAGATCTATTTTCAGAAAGCACTCAAACTGGAACAGGTGCTGTGAAGACATGTCCAGGAAAATTACAGGGAATAAACAGACTGTCCTGTGAGACATTGGAAAAACTTCAGCAAAGCAAAGGATGAGAGAGCTTATGATTTCTTGCCATAAACACCACAGGGGGACAGGACAGAAAAAGACAAACTTGAAGGACAATCTGACTCAAAAATATTTGACTGCAAACTGGCCATTAACAGACCAAGTCCTGAAATTAAAAGGAAAGTTGCTAATTACCAGAGGCATGACCAAAAAGGCTTCCCACAGAGGAAGACAGCAGCAAATGTTGCTGCTTTTCGGTATGAGATCTATTTAGTTTCTAAAAAACCTTTACCACATGTCTGCCTGCAGGGACCCAGGCGAGGCTCAGTGCTCCAAGGGATCAATTCCCATCTCTGACCATGCTCCTGTCCTCACAGCAGCTTCTGGTGGTGTCCCAGGAAGGCGTTCCTGAATTCCGGTCTTACACAAGCGGGTGTCTCACCAGTTACACAAACTGGGAGGCAAATCTTTGAACCTCTGCCTCCCAGCCCTCAAGGAAGGTTGCTCCTTTTTCTCACAGTGGTGCAAAATACAAAATCCTCTTCCATTTCTCCAGCTGCCAGTTTTGCAGAGGCATTCTTAATTTTAATCTTGGGCAGCAGTTAAACAGCTCATTTCTCCAGCCCAGGTGCTTCCTCCACCAAGGCAACAGGAAACAAGCCAGGGCACGTTGCTGAGCCCCCGTGCAGCATTTGTACCCCTGCCCCTTCACTGCTCTCTGCCCCTGCCCCAGCACTGCAGCATGCCATGCTCTTGGCTGTGGCAGCACAAGTGTCTGTGGGGACCTACCTGAGCAAGCACTAGGTCTGTCCAAAACACATGTGCCAGTGCAGTAGTGAGGAAGGTGCACACAGGCTCCTAGAGAGAGGAGGAAGGGGAGGCACAAAACTACTATTGATTATCCATGTTATGACTGCACATCCATAGAGCCTGCTACCTTTCTCACTAGGGGAAAGAAATGTGTATTTTGAAAGTTTTAATATTACCTTTTCTGGACCCTATTATTTTAAAAACAGTATGTTGACCACGGCGGACAGTCAGGTGCATAACACAACATAAAAGTGCTCTTTTGTATTTTGAACTGCAAAGCCTCCTTCTTGAAAGGAGCAGATGAGAGTGTGGGTCAGCCAATAGGACTGTAAGCTCTGTCAATTGTGCCAATACATCTGGAGCATCTCAGACCTCCCAAACCATTGATCATCTCTTGGGGACTGGCTTTCTACATATGTTCATAGTGATGCAGACTTTCACCTCCACTGCTTTGACATGGCCCTTCTTCCCAAGCTCGAGGCTGACCAACAGGAAAATGCCCTTTGTCACTTTGTCATTGATGGCCATGCCAGGTTTACTGAACCACCCGCATTTTTTCTTCAGAGTTGTACTTGCAATAACTGGAACTTTTCCAAATATTTCTTGCAGCCACCCTCTCTCTGCTCTCCCTTCGTGCTGGCAGTGGTTTTCTGTGGTCAGAAAGGAAGGAGTGGGTACCTGCAGGGTGTCCCCTGCACCCCAGGAAAGCAGTGTCTGCTGGGAAGGTTAAAGGTGACTTTTCCTTTGCACATGTTGGCATCAAGGAAGTGCACTGAACTTGTACACTGGTGCAGCTCACATGAATGTAAGATCTGCTGGCACCCAGGAGTCCCATGGGTTTTGGGAAGTTTTCATAACAAGCATTAATAAGGAACACACTGTGAACAAGCTTGTGGAAGGCAGAGGATATGGGACAGGGCTGAGTTTTAAATTCTCTGTTAGCACAGTGCAATCCTGGCCTGAGCCCAAGGCTCCTCAAAACTGTCCAATACCTATTCTAACAGTGATAGCATTTGGAGGTAAGCCTGTTCTTATGCAGAGGGGACAGACAATTGTCCCAATAAATAGTTCAGGAGTCTTATCTTTAGAACAGAGCTCCAGCTCACAGAGAGAAAAGTTGCTATTTCACTCACTCCTTTATGTGTTCGCCCTGATGTCCCAGTCAGGCTGACCTTTCACTAGTGTAAAACCTCTGGGGGATATTTTCATCCTAGTGTAAATCAGCATAGATTAGGGATTGGCATCACAGGAGGTTCTTACCTCATGGGGACTATACCAGCACAACCTTCTTCTGAAGCACAGCTCTGCGCAGGAGATAACAGGATCTGCTGTACATGCTGACTGCTGCTGGCTGTGGCTGTCCCCTCATACAGAAACCCTGAGCCAATCACTTAGAATTTCCCCCTTCCCTTCCTTAAGAGCAGTCCCAAACAACTACCAGTATCTTCCCTTCAGGCAGTGTTTCTGCCACCCAGTTCCCTCACTGGAGCCAGTGAGGAGGTGAGGAGTGTAGCTCTGTGTGGTGTTCTGTGGTTGAGAGAGAGGGAGGTGCCTCTAGAAAGCAATTTATCCCTCCTAAAATCTTAACCACTTCTCTTTCTGAAGAAGTGCCTGGCACAACTGTGCTCCTGACTTAGATGCTTCATTTAGACACCTAAAGTGAGGTGGGGATAAATCCACACCCTTCTGCTTCTCAGGCATGATGTTTCACAAGCAGAAGTGTCGTAATTCTCCTCCTGCTTGTTGTTCTCAGCCTTTAGTGTTAGGTAGGATGTTAGATAAATTATGTCCTCCCACATTCTGGCAGAGCTCTTTCCCCCAGTTGGCATAAGTGGTAACTTTCATCTTGCTACACTAGATATTCAACGTCATGTGGTGCAAAGGGTGCATATTTTCATATCTGGCTGTGATCAATAACACAGTTCCTATCTATGGCAACAACTGCCCACAACACTGAGGGTTTGTATTTTAGTTATGGTTGTCAAAATGGCTTTTTTTTGTAATCAATAGCCTGAGAGTCTTTCTCAGGAAGATTTGCATTGCATGATCAACAGCAACAGTAGTCCAAGCCAACTTGATGAAAGGGACAGTTAATCCCAAAGAGCCAAGTGACTGGAATGTGCCCTGCTCTGGAAGGGCATCACTCAGCTGCGTGCATACAGCTGGGTATGGCTGGTGTAGCTGAAGCTGGTAGTTATCCAGAGGTTTGGGGGTTGGTTGGGTTTTTTTCTTTCTTTCTTTTTTTTTTTTTTTAAATAAGAAAAACATCCACAGTTGTTCCACAGGAAAAGAACAAGTAATCTACCAGCATGGGATATATGCTGTTGTTCTTGTTTCCTTCTTGTTTACCTTCACCTTCTGCTAATGTAATTGGGGTGACAAGATTTTTCCAAACACCAAATTAGGATAAAGAGTAGTTGGGTGCAAGAGATGAAGGGGAGTAACCAGCAGGCTTTTAACAAATCAGTAATATGTGCACACGGCAGATACTGAAATACATAAATCTTGCACTGTTCTACAAAAGCAGGAAAAAGCAAAGCCACACAAGTAGAGTCCTACAGCTGTAGGGTGTCTGTGCTTCACTTTCCACTCTCCCCTTCCCCTGGAGGCAGCTGCTACTGAGCTGTGACAGCTGAGCTGCATGTGAAGCAACTCCTAAACCACAGAAGTTTTCAACCTTACACATTAAAACAAACTCCCCTTCACCCAAGCAGGTGACTGAAAAGAAGCCCAAGGCACGATTCTTCATGGAGGTAGAACACCTCAAGTGACACAGCCCCCGGTGCTTGAGCAGGGTCATTTCCACATAGGAATGGCAGTGGTTTGCACCTGTTTTGCCCAGATGCACATGCCTATGCACTGCCCAGTGCAGCGAGGGACACACTCTGAGTCACATTCAGTGCCAAGTAATGGTCTGAGCTGACCACATGTGAAACACCTGCCAGAAGCCAGTCTGTGAAACAGGCTCTCCTCGCCATTGATCCTGTGGAGCTACGTGCACCCTGGCAATGGAGCAGCATCGCAAACCTAGGATGAAACAGCAATGAGAGTCAAAGCCAGAACCATGTGAAACTGCATAGGTTGGCCATATTGCCTATGGCATCTGAACATCACTCAGCTGCAAGCAAAACTTCTGACTGACAACTGCAAGGGCCTGAATTAAATGAGTTTTAATTTTTTACTTCTCTCTAAGATGAGGTCCAGTCGCTGACTGTAGGCACTTTCCTAGGCCACTGCAATATAAAGTAAAATGGGTCAATGTTAATCATAAGTGAAGGTACCAAAACATGCCAATCCCTTGTGTGGTACTTGGTAGAGCGGACCCAGGGAATGTTGCACTTTAGGGCACTTGGTTGGGTCTGACCAGCCAAAGACATTTCTCTGGGCTCCCCAGCTGAACTGGCAAAGCTGACTTTTGCCACATGAAGGAAAAAAGACCAGAAGTGGGGCTGGCTTACACTCAAGAGGACATGGAAATGGTCAAACTGCTACAGGGAGCTGGCAGAATATCATGGAGAGTTGGGCATGCTGTCCTAAGAGTTGGGTATGCTGTCCTAAGAGTTGGGTATGCTGTCCTAACACCATTGCAGGAGGGGGACATAGCAGAGGTGGGAGCAAGGCAGTAGTTTGTACTCTCCCATTCCAACTTCCCAAGGACTGCTGTAGCTAAAATACCTAGGAAAGCCACCACCATTCCAGCTGCTTAGTTTGCCAGTGGTGACATCCAAACTTGACTGACATTAGCATTCCGTGTCTTGCTGCCTCAATACCCAGAAACAGCTTTGTTTCTCCTGATGGAGGGAAAATGGTACTTTTATTTCTCTGTCAGGCTTAGAAAAGCAAGAACATAGGAGAACAGATAAGAGAGTCCAGATAAGCCTCACAAAGGGAGAAGAGCCCAGGCTGAGTGTGGGGCCAGGTGCCCAAGCCATCCATTCACAGGTAACCTGGCATGCCCCCTTGAGAGGCCACCTGAGCCCTGGATGGAAACCAAACCATGGGACTGGGAAGTCATGTAGCTGAGAGGGATTTACACGGCTGTGCCCTACATGCTGTAAGCTTCCACTGCTTATGTGCTGGGAGGGAGTGAGCTGCTCCTGCCCAACACACGGCTGCCTCAGCCCTGGGCTGCATTGCTGCCCAGCTCACACCTCGGCCCCACTTGGATTCACACACACCACACAATGCCTTCACTCAGATATATTTATCAAGCTAAAAAAAGTTCTGGTTAACTGTTGTGTTGGCTGTGAGGCCTAGTTGCGCTATCTAGGAGGGAAAAAGAGGCCACCTGGAGCTGTAAAGATCTCATAAGCCTCATAAGGAGGACAGCACCCTGGTGGGAGGTTGTATACTTACTGGAGGGGCAGAATTCCTGCAGCAATACAGAAACGATTCAGTGTCACTGCATAGTCCCTCCCCCAACCATAAAAAAAATTTTACTTTTTACATATTTCCTGGAATATGTGATTTTACACCCTGTTATGAAAGGAAATCCAGTCCGGTGGGACAAAGTCATTCTTGGAATAACTTTCAATGAATTCAAAAGCTACAACTGGACTGACTTTGGTGTAGTAAGTCCTCAGGGTATTGGTGGCTGCTGCAGTCATGTTTTTGTAGGCAGTCTGGATCTACTAGTTTTCCTAGAATAATAATTGCAGTAAGAGCTGTGATGTTTTGTAAGCAAACTCATTTGTACTGGCAAAATCCCTACTTGTGTTGATAGAGAAGTGGCTTACACTGCTAAATTTCTTCCAGTTTTTATTTGGAATTGCTGTTCTATTATGAAATATCTTTATGCTGTCTGCACAATAGGTGCAGATGATTACCTCTGCATTGTTATAACAGTACCCTTTTCTAGCACAAATGTCTAAACTCTTTTGTTTTGTATAATAAAAATACTAGAATATGGTTGGGGAAGAAAGAAACTACTGTCTTAAGACAAAATAGATTGATGCCCTAGAATAGCCTGCAAGGCAAATTCTGTGTGACAATAAGAGGCCAGAATTCACCAAAATAATCTAGAATATTTTCTTTTGTTATTTTTATGAGGGTTGGGATCCTCACTTCCTAAGCAATCTGTACAAACATCTGCATGAACTCATAGCCTATATATGTCTATTTTCCTTTCTAAAATCTGAGTTAATCTTGTTTGCAGCATGCAGAGAAATTGAGCAGTACGCGAATACCACTTAATGTCATCCCCATTTAGAAATGCAGTATCACTGCAGTATCACTGCCTGGCCAGCCCAAGGGGCAGCTGGACACCCGCAGCCTTGCCACTGCCAGATGGCTGCAGACGGTCTAAGGAGCTTTTGGGAAGCAGATGTTCCCTGGTGCATCTCCTGAAAGTGAAAGGCAGCATTATAAAGAGCGCAAAGTTTAAGGGACAAAATCTGAGTATGGGGCAATATGGGGCATCTCCTTGAGGGTGGGATTTCACCTTGTATTTTGGCATGGAAAGAAAGGGGATAGGCTTGAAAGGCTTTGAAAGCAAAGACAAGCAGCTGTGTTCGATGGTTTAAAATTAGGGGAAACTCAATCTGTGCTTGTTGAGAGCAGCTTTACAGTATTTCCACATATATGGCATACACCTCAGAAAAACTGCAGATCAGTACCATACTGTTCCTTAAAATAAGCCCCAGAGATAACTCACACATCTCAGCAGCAGGAGAGCTGATGAAGGAGGAAGAGTCTATGTAGGATCTACCAGGGAAGAAGTGGCTCTGGGGTACCTGAATTTGCAGATTGCTTGAGTGGCCCATCATGGATTATACTAATGAAAATCAGGTTCTTTGTCCTAGAGGCTCCCCTTGAAAACCTGTTTCTTGAGGCAACTTGGAGATCACAGCAATCGGGCTTCTGATAGGAGGAATTTGCTCTGGGGGTGGCAATACATCTATTCTGGCACCCTGTAGCTGCCTTTCCCCAGGGCTCCTCACTTTCCTGCCCATCACAGGGGTGGTGCATATCCTTGATGAGACATCAATGGGGCCTTGGGACACCAGGAAAGGTAGTGCTGGAAACAAACAGCCACTACCAGTGATTCAATGGCCTGCGGCTCATTTGCAGTGAGACCTGAGGGGTGCACTCCTTCCTGCTGCAACCTGGGGCGAAGCAAAGTCGCCCCATCCACTGTGTGTGTATGTAAAGAAGTCCATCTGTATGTACAGAGTAATACCATCAGCATGGACTACACAAATTGGGTTGAGTAATTCTCCCACTGAGATAAGAAGATCAGTGGAAAGGGGTGACAAAATAGCAAGCAAAGATAACAACTTTTGCAGCAGCCCTGTGAATATGTATGCGGACACAAGGTAAATGTGTATGTATCTCACGGCCAGAGAAAAGATGTTGCAGCAATCAAGGTATAAGAGAAGGAGAGTTTTGGTTGTAAGACTAGCTAAAAAAAAGACCATATCCTGTAGATATTATCCAAAAATAGTCTGCAAAACTAAAAATAGCATGGATATATCACAGTTTAAAAAGAGATCAAAAATGAAGCTTATAAAGATTGTAAGTCATATGAGATACAGCATGAACTTTACAGCTTATAAAAGACAGTGATGGAAATGAAATTATGCTAATTCACACGACCTAGTTTCAAACTCCAGTCACCTGAGCCAAAACAAGCAGACAGCTTTATTTACTGTTTTTTCATTTTTCCTGGGATGTACAGACTGAAGGTCCTGCATGCCAGACCTCCCATGCTTCTCATATACAGACCACGTTTCTTGCTTGCACAGGCCTCTCTCTTCTGCCAGCACCTCAAGCATGTGCTGTGGTGGCTACCTCAAAAAGTGCGTGGAGGACTGAAAATGGGAGAAGCAAGAAGCTATCTGTGTCTGGAGGAGCAGACTGTGTGTGAACCCCTCTACCTTCTGCAGGTCAAACATGTGCCTTGGGGTTGCAGGGTTTTGCAAAGTATTTCATGCGCCACTTGCTCTTGCCAGTGGGTTAGGATGCCCACCAAAGAAGGCTGGTGTCCTGGTCTTGAGTAGGCAGCTGCCAAGCTACCCACAGAGCAGCAATCTGTCTATGAACAGGGACCAGCAGCTCACACAGGCAGCTGCCTGGCAAATCTTGGCACCACCAGGGGTGTAGCCAGCTCCCTGGTGGCATTTCAGACCTTAGTTGTAGACTCAGTACCCTTAGTTAAGCATATATCCTGCAAAGGTACTCTAATCTTTCATCTGATTTAACCCTCCATCCCTGCTCGGGGGTATTAAGAGTTTAATTCGGCATTTGCAACAGGACCCAGATAGATGAAGACCTTAAGGTGGAAGGACAAGGTAAGCAGAGGGGTTACAGCACAGGCTGATCCTTGTCCCATCTGGGGGACAGCACAGAGCCCTGTCATTTGGTCTGTGTGTTGCTGCAAGCACTGGACATGAGCTGGCTCAGCACAGTTTGGCCAGTCCCTGCATGAGCACACAGTGCTCAATCCTGGAAGAGGACAAGGGTAGCCACAGAAGGAGCAGGCATGCTGCTGGGGCAGCTGCAGCACCTCTTGAGGTGGCATGGGGAGAAGAAGGAAGGGAACAGCTCTTCTTGAAGCCCTGCTTAGGCAGTCGTAGCCTGACAACAGCCATATGGACACAGGCTGGAGATTTAAGTCTTTTTCCAGCTGTTGTTGAAGTGTCAGTACCCCAGTCTAATCTCACTGGCTATTACCATTCTCCTCTTAACCACCACTACCCTCATGTTTGTAAGCAAAACCGGTTGTATGTGCTCCCTCGGACCTCGAGAATCAAATTGATCCATGCTAACTCAGGCAGCTGAAACACAAGGTCTGCCTGTATTTAGTTCAATGCCAGTAAATAGGTCAAGGAAAGCTGGCGGGGGGGTGAGTGTGCCTGAGTGCTGGGTGAGCGGTAATCTCTTCAGCCAACAGACCTGGAGTTTAAAGATTGACTTATGCACCTCTGGTGATTTGTCCCATGCACCCAGAAGCTGACTTTGGCCTGTTGTGTTCAGTGCAAGCTACACCAAGAGGACAAGTCTGGTCAGAGGAACTCCAGATGTGACCAAACCTTTTTCATTCCCACATGCTCCTTGACTGCCTCTTCCCCGACTTGGGAGTCATGGAGAAGCTTGCATGTAGGTCTGCCCTGGGGGCAAGCAGAGTCACACTGTCCTGCCCATGCTGCCAGTGGCACAGCCCCTCCCTGCTGGAACAGCAAGGTTTGGAAGCAGGGGGTGCAGATGGTCCCGGCCATGCACAGAGTGCACTCCTCTGCCTCAGCCAGACAAGAGAGCGATGCTGCTGAGCTGCCTCCTCACACCAGCAATTTTCATGCCCCTAGTTGCTTGCAGCTAGGGAGAAATTGTTTTGGTGCTGCTTTAAACACTCAGATCTTGACTACTGGGCCCTGGCAA